GCTCAGGCATGTCACGAACTCTAAATTAATGTCTGACACACAGTAGGTCCTCACTAATTGGCAGTGGGTAACTGGTGCAACGGAAAGAAGGCGAATCAACAGATAGAAAGGGCTTCAGCCACTGTTTAACAAACTAAAACAGAAATAACTTAGGTACACTATTCATCAAGTTGGTCAATAAATTTTAAAACCCTAATGCATATTGTTAGTGAAGAACAGCTGGTAGGGTTATAAATTTTTCTAGTGGGAATTTGTAAATAGATAACAAGGGTCTTTACAATGTTTATTCCCCTTGACAATATAATTCCCCTTCTAGAAATTTATCATAAAGAAAAAAATGAGACACAATGATTTATGTAATGATGTTCGATAATATATTATTTAGACTGCCAAAATTTAGAAACAATCCAAATGTCTAAAAATAGGGGAAAGATCAAATTTATTAGGGTACAGCTGGGGAATAGAATTCAGTGGTCCTTCTCCAACTGAGATTTCTGCCAGCTACATTATAAATATTGGGGAGTTTGGTTTATTGGTTGGTTGGTTTGAATGACAAATGTTTAAAGGGAAGTTCCTTGGGCAAGGCTCCATTCAGTCCCTCAGACAGAAGACCCAGGGGTGTCAGGTGTCAAGAGACGAGATGTGGGAGAGCCTCACCCCAGCACATAAACCTTCCGCCTGAGCGACCTGACTCCCACTCACACCTGTTGACCACAACTAATCATCTGGACATTCTACCCAAGCTTTGGGAAGCGGGACTTCCTTTGGGAAGTGCACTCGTATGAGGGGAACAGAATGCTGGCAGGCACTCACCATGTCCACCATCTTTCCTGGTGAGCTCCTAGGAATGACCTGGCGTCTTACTCAGCATTTATCCCCATTATCAGAACAGGGCACAACACAGAGCAGGTCTCGGTGAGTATGGGCTAAGGGAATCAGTGAATGGCAGACAAGTTTTCCAGGTAAAGGCAGCCAGACATTTGACGAGCACATTTCACTTTACCTTAGGATTTCAAGGTCAGATTACCCCAGTTATCAGGAAGCATTTTGTTACCCAGACTCATACTTTTCAAAAAGAAGGAGAAGGAAAGAAATCTGGGGAAAAACAAATAGTCCAAGAACGTGCTTCTGACCCCATCTGCTCTCCAGGTGCGTCTCACACACACACACACACACACACACACACACACCAGATGTCCTAAGGCACTTACCCAGTCTGCTTGTAACATCACAGAGGGAGAGGACGTGTGCTAATCCAAGTGCTTCCTCTGGCAAGCTGGCCAGGGCCACTCAGTTGAGGCCCGTCTGGAGGCCAAGGCCCGGTTCCCTTGGTCACGGCTTCAGAGGCCGGGACCCCCCGACCTGCAGCTCCTGTCCCCACATGCAGGAGGAGTCGGAGGCTACAGGAATTGCGGGGTGCAGGTCAGGAGAGGTGGCTCTCCAGGAGCAGCACCCAGGCAGGGAGGGGCCTGCAGACCCAGCACGTCCCAGGCTGCCTGCTCCATGTTGGAGGGTCCCCACCTGCAGGAACCCCTCCTGGCTGTTGAAATGGAGCTGCTGGGAAGATCACCCAAAATAGCAGATGTAATAGAAACAGACCCTCGGCTCTTGGAATGAACCCTGTGACAGGAACGGAGGATGATGACCGAACACACTCCACACCCATCAGTTTGCTAAAGGCAGCTTTTTCTCCCCAGGGACACATCAGTGCAGACATCTAGGAAACTTCAAGCTATCATGACTAACTCACGAAACAGTCCCCACCTTGCCACACGTGGGCATCAGAGAGTGAGTCCTGCTTTCTGCAGGGTCTTTGGCAGCACTTGGAACATGGGGCGAGTTTATGCCCTTGGAACTGGGTGTGAGTCAGGAGAGAGGTCTGAAAATCTCAGCCCAAGACAAGTGGCTCCTCTGGGAAAACAGAATCGCTGAGACTGGAATGCTTTCCTGCCCTGAGAACATCGGACTGCCACCTCCACTTTCCATTCTGTGATGCTGATTGGACCCGCCTTAAACACGTTCTTTCTCTCCATTCCTCACAGTTCTGCCCCTGCCCAGCACCCCGCAAACCTGCCAGGTCAGGGCTGTGTAAACCAGGAGTTTCCTCCTCGGTTGGCATGGGCAATAGCCTCCCTTTCCTCCTGACTTTGAGGAACACAAAGCTGGCAGAAATTGTGGAGTCTTCTGGGAAGGCGAGGAAGGCACGCGTGTGGTAGCCATCCACACATCCATCCTTACATACACCCATGAGGGGGACCACAAAACAGCACCAGGTAGGCCCAACGGCACACATGAAGCCTCGGGACACCCCCACTGGTGCTTCTGTATGTGACCCAGTCTATCCTGACCCCTCGGGCCACCTGGGCTGTTACTTTGGAATAACCCCTGACAGGCAAGGTCTCCATTGGAGGGATTTCTCCATGGAAGGAAGTCAGTGGCAGGGCCAGATTCAGGCCTCTGAAACTCCTCCATCCTCAACGTCCCCCCCACTCCCAGCCAGCTTACTCTATGGGGTTAGCAGCATATTCTGGAATCACAGAAGGAGCCTCCGGGTGTGAACATGAAGGAGCATGTGCCCTTAGGTAGAAATGCAGAAGGGACCATGGAGTTGGCAACCATTGAAGTCATGAGAATTCTTACTATTCTTACAACATTTCTGGAAGTCTAAAATTATGTCCCGATGAAAAGTTAGAGGCAAAAATTCTCAGGAAAAGCACACACACCTCACTTCCCTTGTTGGTCTCACTGAAGCCCCAGGGAGGCCGGAGGGCTGGCGGGGAGACCCCGGACTGGGGTTGTGCGAGCCCTTCTTCCTGGGCAGTCACCACCCCACACCAGGGTTCTTCCCAGGACCAGAAAGCTGCTCTCCTAGCTGTAAGTGCATGGTTGTTCCTTCCTTCCTTGTTCCTGGCAGGGTGCTTGCAGACACGGCTGGGAGCCATGGTATTGGGCCTGTGGGTGAGCACCGCGGGCCCATCAATGTCCATGTGTTTATACGGCTATTTGTGATCTATGTACCTGACTTCCTGCTGCAGAGCACATAAACCCTGAAGGCTGAGGGGCCATCTGTAAATGTCAAATTAGAGTGTTTGTTAAAGATTTGATTCATTTATTTGTGAGAGAGAGAGAGCGAGCACGAGCACGCGGAGCAGCAGAGGCAGAGGGAGAAGCAGACTCCCTGCAGAGCAAGGAGCCGAATGCAGGGCTCCATCCCAGGACCCCAGAACCGTGACCTGAGCCGAAGGCAGACGTTCACTGACTGAGTCACCCAGGAGCCCTGTAAATGTCAAATTAAAACATCAGTCTCAGAAGGGACTCAGGGAGCCCCATCAAGCAGAGCCTGGGAGCTCCAAAGCTTCTAGTCTTACGATTTGCTCCTTAGGCATTTTACCTGCCCCAGAGGAAAGATGAAGGTATTCCCTGATTTTACAAGAAGGGTGGGGAGGTGATGGTGAGATTATCTTTAGGTATTTTGAGATTCTTTTATGGAATGGGCTTCACAAGAATTCCAGCATATTCCATATTCTTGAAAGTAGATGAGCTCTTCAATTATCCACATCAGGTCACCTCTGAGAGTAGAAGGGAGGACTAACCATGACTCCAGGCCGGCAAATGTCAACGGGCACAAGGTCTCTGCTCTCGAACCACATCCTGACTCTGGACAGCAACGTTGGTGGCTCCTTCTGTGATTCCAGAATATGCTGCTAACCCCATAGAGTAAGCTGGCTGGGAGTGGGGGGGACGTTGAGGATGGAGGAGTTTCAGAGGCCTGAATCTGGCCCTGCCACTGACTTCCTTCCATGGAGAAATCCCTCCAATGGAGACCTTGCCTGTCAGGGGTTATTCCAAAGTAACAGCCCAGGTGGCCCGAGGGGTCAGGATAGACTGGGTCACATACAGAAGCACCAGTGGGGGTGTCCCGAGGCTTCACGTGTGCCGTTGGGCCTACCTGGTGCTGTTTTGTGGTCCCCCTCATGGGTGTATGTAAGGACGGATGTGTGGATGGCTACCACACGCGTGCCTTCCTCGCCTTCCCAGAAGACTCCACAATTTCCAACTGTACAGTAAGCACCAGTGACAGAAAGATTATCATCGTCACTGGACAGAGGCCAAGAGCAGGTCACTAACGTTCTCCCTTCAGGTAATTAGGCCGGGAAGTTCTGTTCCTCTGCCAGCTCCGCTCCGACCCCAGAAATAAGCCACCTGTCCCAGTGTGGACTTGTCATCTTAGAGAGCTGACACTGGGCACTGACCCTCTGGCACCACCAAATGCACCAGTGAGGGGGTCTATTAAATCTCTGACAATAACGAATGAATGAATGAGTGAGGGTCTGGAGCCAGACTGCCCAGATATGAACATTGATCCTGCCACGTACAAACCTGAGCAAGTAACTTACCTCCACAACCCTCAGCTTCCTCAACTGTAAGAGGGAGTAACACCACCATCTCTGGGGAACAGCCCCAGGAGGAGGGGTTACCCTGGGGCCAGTAGTCAGCACTCAATAAAAAGCAGTTCTATCTTACTGCTATCTGTCCCCCCACCTCTGTTGAGTTAGAAGGCAACCAACTCTTCTGAATTGACTGGAAGTAACCCACAAGCAAATGGATGAATAAGTATTATTCTGAGACAAAGAGCCTTTTCCATGGCAATACACAAGTGTCTCAGGGGTATTTGATCCCAAATGAGGCTTTGTTCCAGTCCTTTAAAGACATAAGGCTCCGAAAGAAGGTGGCCAGCTCTGAGGCTCCTTGGCACCCATCAAACGCGTGCCCATGATATTCCCAGCGAGTTCAGGGGCCACACTCGGCCTCTCCCCGGGCTGCCCTGACGATGAGCATGGATGGTTCTCAGAGGAGGGCAGAGGAGTGAGCAAAGCCGCTTTCCATCAACCCAGTGAAGCCAGGCAAAGATGTTAAAAATAGATGATAGGAAGCCATTTCTGTCCTCAGGGAGTGAGCCCAGGTCTGCTCCACGGAGTGCTGAGTAAATACACCTCTCGTTGTCATTCATAATATTTATTTTGGAAAAATATTTTAAAAAGGATTTTCTTCATTAACAAAACAGTAAAAAACTCAAATAACATTTGCACAATATTCCATAAATACATTTATATACAAAAAAATATAGTCACATAGACCCGAAGTGCCTTTGTACATATTTACCAAAAATTTAAATTATAAAAAATGAACATCACAAAATACTCAAGCTTTACAGATATCATGAAAAATATTTTTACAAGTCCAAAAAAATAACACACATTTTTTCCACCTAGAAAAAACACATTTTAGTATCAAAAAGAACGATAAAGGCAGTGTTTGTGATTCTAATTCAAGAAAAGACTGGCTCATCAGAATCCAAGATATACACTTCAGGCAGTGCATGCTTCTTATGCAGTAATTATGTCCATTCATTTAAATATATATTTTTTAAAAAGCAACTGTCCATAGTGCAATGGAAACATCCTAAAAGGCAGTGCAACAGGCCCCCTTGGACGCTGCCGAGCTGCAGCCCGCGCCGCGTCCCCGGCCGACCTCCGGGAGGGAACCGGCTCCATCCGAATCGGTTCTCAGCAGCAGTCCGTGGGTCTCCCTTTCCTCTTTCAAGCAGCATCCATTGGGGCATATATCCTTGGAATTTTATTTATTTTTAAGAGAAACGGGAATTTTGCCATATCACTTCCATTTTACACCTGGAGGGGCCCACGAGACAGAACGGGAAGTTAGTTCCAGGGAGGGGTCAGCATCCTCTGACTTCTCCACCCGCTTCCGTCCCGACCAGCCCCAGAGAGCCACAGTCCCTCGCCATGCACACTGACCTCAGTCGCTATGACACACTCATCCTTCTCCTCGGAGATGACATACACTGACTGGTACTTTGTGTCTTTTGAAGTAGAATACACAGAGTCCGGCCTCTTTCTTTCAGATGCTTCTCCACTAGAAGGAAAAGAAAAGAGAACCACGATAAGCATGTGAAAACAGTTCTGAAAATGACCAGCACCGGGGAAAGGATGCCCGCGGGCCCTCCTGCCCAGCCCGCCGCACCCCGAGCGTTGGGCGCCCTCCCAGGCGGGCCTTCCCACGCGGCCCTCCCGGCCCACCGCACGCACCCCCTGAGCGTTGGGGCACTCTTCTCCTCCCCTGCAGAGCCCTGGGCCTGGCACTTGGTGTCCCGCTTGCTGTGAGGGTCCCTGACGGCGGCGGCAGCGTCACCCTTGAGGTCCTGCACCAGGTTATAATCCACAGCAGGGTAGCGGGCCTTGAGGCCGTTCTTATCAGCCCCGTGGTCCCCGTGGAAGTCGACTTTCTTGTTGGTGTTCTTGATCTGCGTGGTGCCAAGGACGCTAACGGAGATGTCCTTCTCACGCTGGCAGTTGGCCAGGTTGTTCATGGTCTCTGTCTCCCCACGGCAGGGCTCCGCAGGGGGCCGGTCCTTCTGCAGCCGGAGCCGCCCACAGACCACCACGGCGGCGCAGCCCAGCAGCAGCATGAGGACCAGCACCACGCCCGCACAGACGGCCACCCATGGGAAGGGCCCAGCCTGGCCCTCCACGTACTTCTCGGTGAGATCCACCACCACCGGGCCGGGGGGGGGCTCCGGCAGCAGGAACTGGCAGTTGGGGCCCCCGTAGCCCCGGGCACACTCACACAGGTAGCGCCGGTCCCTCTCGTGGCAGGTGGCCCCATTGTGGCAGGGCGCGTGCTCACACCTGCTGACGGGGGCACTGCAGTTCCTGCCTATGTAGCCCGGGGGACAGGTGCAGGAGTACTCATTCACACCGTCCCGGCAGGTGCCCCCGTTGGCACATGGGGAGGAGGCACAATCGTCCACGTTGTCTTCACAGTGCCTCCCGGAGAAGCCAGCCTGGCAGCGGCACAGGTAAGCGTCGCCAAGGTCCACACACTGTGCACCTGAAACACAGGACACATCCGTGTCTGCCCCTGCGTCACACCCCAGAGATGCAAGACAAGCCAGCCCGCCTGTGGCCTGAACGGGGTGGTCGCTACTTCAAACACAAGCCCGGGGGAGGCGTCTGGTCTAGCTCAAGAAACGGTGACTGGGACAGCTAGCATCTCTTGAGCAGTCACGTTTCGCCAGCGCTGCGCACGATGTTTTGGCTGAATTACCGCACTCACCTTCACAACATCCCACAAAAGGCCCCGTATGCCGATGAGGAAACGGAGCCTGAGTGAGGCTGATGTGCTTGCCCACGGCTCCACAGTTAGTGAGAAGAGCAGGGTTGAAAACAGAAAGAAAGAGGAAGAAAGGAGGGAGTGGGAGAGACCTCTGTCTTTCCAAAGCCAAGTCGGCTAAACCTCCACCACTCTGCCTCTAAAAATAAAGCGTCCGGCGTTTCTGTTGGTTCCGTGGATAGAAACAGACGGGAGGCAAAGCTCAACCGCGCAGGACTGCCACGCCTTCCGTACAGCACGTGGAAAGCAAAGCTACAGTGATTCTCCTCCATCAATTATCGTGGCCCAGCCTGTCTGGGGCCCAGCTTCGCTCCTCTACCCACTCACACAGTCGCAGGGGGCCCGTCAACAGACCACACTTCCGCACACACAGACACACCAGACGGCGATGTTTGGGTAACAGAGCCGAGCCGGGCTTCCCTCCAAAAACAGAGAGGCTGGGTTGCCATTGGAGCACGATGTACTGAGTTATGGCCCAGACTCGGGCACCTGAGGTGCTGTATGACCTTGACAAGTCATCTCACCTCTCGGCCTCAGGCTTTCCCCGCAGAATGTGAGAATCCACACTCTTGCCTGCCTTTCTTGCTCCCTGAGCATCTCCAGGCTCAAGGGTAAAATTTCTGTGAAGAGTTTCTGACTGTTTAGTTGAAAGCCTCCATAAACTCAGGGTAGCTTGCAAAATGAAGTGCTCGGTTTGAAAGTAAACGCATGTGCTTTCTAATGCGTTCTTATCAGTGCTGACCACTTGACAAAGTCTCAGAGCGGACGGGGCTGCCCTCCTACCATTAGAACAGGGTGAAGAGCTGCAGGGATCCACCTTCTTCTCACAGTTGAAGCCAGAGAAGCCCACCGGGCAGCGACAGGTGTAGCCTCCCTCGGGGTTGTCTGAGCACCGCCCCCCGTTGAAGCAAGGGCCGTCGGCACACGCCATGGCGCTGAGCTCACAGATTCTGCCGTAGAAGCCAGGCGGGCAGGTGCAAGAGTAGCTATTCTCAAGATCCTGTGTCGTGGAGAAGAGAAAGAGCTCTCAAACGTTGCTCCGGGAGGCCCACATCGTCCATATCAAACCCAGGCCCCCGTTCAGCAGGAGGGCCCACTATGGCCGGACTCACCGTGCAGCTGCCTCCGTTCCTGCAGGGGCTGGTGCCACACTCATCGATCTCTGTCTCGCAGTTGGCCCCTGAGTACCCAGGCCGGCAAGAGCAGGTGTAGCTGCCCTGGCCTGTGTTAGTGCAGGTGGCTCCGTTCCTGCAGGGCTTGTGATGTGTGCAGTAGTTCAGGTCTGCACGGGGCAGAGACAGGAGGGGAGGGCAAGTCCAGGGTTAAACTCAGAGTCCTCGATGAAGCCAGGGAAGCCCAGGGCTGCCAGATGGGGAGAGGGGCTCACCCTGGTTGCAGAAGAGGCCGCCCCAGCCCTCCTGGCAGTTACACTGCCAAGGCTGCTGACAGGTGCCGTGGAGACAGCCTGGGTACCGGATGCATTGGTCACAGTAGCGGCTCTGCCAGCCCACTCTGCACCTAGGAAGGCAGCAGGATGGTCAGGCGGACACTGGCCCCCGGGCTCACAGTGACGCACCACCGACTCACGAGGCACCGTCTTCCAGCAGCAGCAACGCTGCTGGCTCCCAAGCGAGGCAGAACGCTGGCGTCTCCTTGGGGGCTTTCCAACACGCCGAAGCCTCGGAGGGTCTGACTTCTGGGTATGAGGGCCCTGGGACAGCCTTTCCAGGGGCTCCCCAGGTGGTCCTAATATGCCCAAGCATTTGAGAACCCCTGAAGTGGACTCACTTTCTAGGTCAGTTCCTCGCAAACTGCTACGCGTAAGTTCCCAAATCCCCTGAGGAGCTTAGGTGGCTGACACCCCACGACCCTACATGTTTCGATCCATATACTAAGGAGAAACACCAGAGTAACAGCTCCAGCCCAGCCAGTCAGCTAGTCTGACCAGCGCTAGGCTACAAGTATTCTGGGTGTGAGAGGGAAAAAGCACTTTTGCACACTTACTTGCATTCCCCTGGCTTGTCACAAAACCCATGCTGCTCATCACATCCTGGCAAGCAGATTGCTGCAAGCAAAGGGAGCACAAAGGGTCAAGCCCCACCCCAAGTGGCTCCCCAACATCGCAGGGGTGGCTGCCACACGTGGGTGAGACAAAACTTGTGCAGTTCAACTGGCAAACCCAGCCGAGTTCATCTCCGTCTGCGGAGTACTGAAGGTGCTGCCCAGAAACTGCGGACTCAGCCCCGGGATGAGCATTCTCCTTAACACCGTGGCTCCAGGACAAAAGAGCACGGAAGCCCCCACCCCCACCCCATCCCCTTTTCTTCTGAGAGGGTCAGAAGTCCTTCCCCTCCTCCTCCCCCACTTCCCAATTCTATGCACAAAGCTCCACCTCTTAATACCCAGAAAGTGTGTGTGTAGATAAGGGTGGACAGCTGGTATGCAGAGTACCAGGGCAAGACAGCTGCTCCATTGTCTCCGCTCCCCCGGCAGCTGCCCTAGTGCAACAATACCGCCTCCCCCGCCCCCTCGCGCCCCCACACCCCCGGCGTGTACACACGCGCGCGCGCGCACGCACACACGCACACACAGACACGCGCGCGCGCGCACAGACACACACGCACACACAGACACACACGCGCGCGCGCCCCCGCGCGCCCTTTCCACCAATGGGAGCTGGCGTGCGTTCTGGCCGCCTATCCCCGGAGAGATCTAATCGATGGCACGCGCGAGCTGGGGGCGGGGAGAGACTCCAGTGTTTGAATAAGAAGGAAAAAGTTTAAGTTTATGGCTACCCCGCAGCGAAGAAGAGGAGGGAGGGGAGCACGGACGCAAGGCAGCAGGCAGGCCAGAGGTCCCCGCGGGGGTGGGGGCTGAGGTTGAGCTGGCTTCCTTCACTGGGTTGTGAAACTCATCAACAAGCTGCTCCGCAAGTTTGTGAGACTACAGAGCCCGCTCAGGCCCAGGCGGAGCTCAAAACAATGACGCTGAATGTGAAGACCTACCCTCACCCCAGGCACGGATCAAAACTGAGAAACTGCACCTCCCAGGCAAGTCCCTACCAAGAGGGACTGGAGGCTCACCTGCTACAGGGCAGGACAAGGAAAATTCCTAAGGGTGTCTGGGGAGTCCCAGGACCCACTCCACCCCTGACTAGAAGGAAACCTGATACCTAGGTGTTTGAAGCTTCAGCAGGCTGGAGAGAGGCCTACAAACCTGAACCGGGTCCAGGAGCCAGCAGAAACCTCGCAAGCCTCCTCCACTCTAGGGCCTGGCTTCCTGCAGCCTGGGCAGCCACCCTGCCTGCCTGGAGAATACCAAATAATGGGGCAGGCAGGGCCTATTTCATTTTTGTGAAGGTATTTCTCTGCCAGGCAGGGTGCTGTGTGAGCACCCACCCAAGCAGATGGGCACAGTGCCCAACACTGGCAGGTGGGCCCCTCCCCATGCAGCCCTGGCAGACCCAGGCCTCAACACACATTCTCTCCTGTCCACAGACCCCACGAGTGAAAATGTCAGTAACGATGTGTGTGCATCACACAGAATATTTGCAAATATGCTCACTTTTCGAAGAGGCCAAGCACACCAACTCTGGAGAGAAAATGAAGCACTTTTCCAACAAGACACTGTCACAGCAAAGAGAACTGGTTTTTTAAAGCATGTCCCTACACACACAAACTCTCCTCTCTGTTCCTCCCTTCCTTCCTCCCCTCCCTCTCCCTCAGGCTTACTTCCTGACCCCTGGCCCTGTCTCCAAAATCCTCCCTGATTAAGAAAGGCAGCTTCCCATAGCGGAAGTTAAAATGTCTGAGTTGACCCCAGCCCTGCCACTGGCTAGCTGTGAGGTCTTAGCAAGTTTCTCCAGCTCTCTGGCCTCGGTTTCCCCACCAGAGCTGTATTGCAGCGCTGAAGTCCCAGGATCCCAGCAGCTCACAGAACACTCCCCCACTGCCCGGGAACTCCTGCCTGGAAGTGGGTCAGGGCAGGGAAGCAGGAACTCACGTTCAGTGCAATACTGGCCTTTCCAGCCAGGGTTGCAGACTTTCTCCCCTCTCTCCCCGCAGGTGAAGTGGCCAAAGGCATCATCTCGGGGCCGGCAGAAGACAGAGCAGCCCTCCCCGTAGTAATGCTCATCACACACAAAGCGGTAGGAGTACTTGAGGTCTGTTCGGCCGCTGCTGTGCAGGTCCTGAGACCACTCCTCACCCACAGTCAGATGCCTCTGCGTGGCCAGGCGGCTGATGAGTCTTTCTGGGTTTTCTGTAGGAAGAGGATGCTCCCATTGGTTCCTACTAAGAACCCAGAGGCTGGGGCCACTGGGGGAGCGGAACTGATGTGTAATGCAGGGGCAGGAGGCCAAAGATCCTCCATCCTGAACCTCATGCAGGACTTTGCGGAATGAAAGGTATAGGAGCTTGTTTCTGGTGGAGATAGGAAATCAAATACATACTAACTGGGGAAGCAGTTAGTAGTTTGGGGGTTTTTGGTTTGTTTTTACCTGTTGTGAGGTCATCAGGAGAATCTGTGTGGAGCGCCTCAATGATCAGGGAAAAGGTGCCCTGGAAGAAAGGTGGGGGGAGACATAAGATAAAGCAGAAATGTTAAAAAACAAAACCAAAACTGAGGCAACTGGGGACAACCAAGTCATTAAGGGCCTCCCGTGCAGATCTGTGTGTGCAGTGTGTCCAGAGGAGGGTCTCTGTACAACTCTTGCCTGTTTTCACTTTCCTTAAGGAAATGGAAGAACTTTTTACAGAGTGGTTTCCTGACGTGTTTTTTCAGCCTGTTAGTACAGGATATCACGTTTAAAAAAAAAAAGAAAGAAAAGAAAAGAAAAAAGGCTGCGCAGGAGCAAAGGGCTGGAGGGGGTTGTCGTCAGTCTTGGGGAGTGGGGGACTACGCAGAGAGGGCTAGGGGTTGTCAGGCTAGCAGGCTAGCTCGACACCCAGCCCGTCTAGGGACAGGGAAGCGAGAACTCGCCCACGTGAAGGGGCTCATTCGACTTGGGGGCTAGCTACCGAGGCCGGGTCCCGGAACGTCCCAGGTCCTCAGCCTCACGGCACACCGGATGTCACTCTTCTGCCGCCTGAGGGGCATTCCGGGCGTGGAGGCAAGGCTCCGGGCCTGGCCCCTTCTGCCGCCGCCCTGCAGACCGCGGCGCCCACCTGCCCTGGCCGACCCCTCTGCGGACGCCTCCGGCGCCCCGCACGGTGCGGCCACCACCAGGCCTGGCGCGGGGCCGACCCACCGCCCGCTCCTCCCGCTCCTCCCCGCACCGCCCCCCAGGTGCAGCGCTCACCGGCCAGGTGAAGCCGAAGGGGAAACGGATGGGGTTGCTAAAGGCGGGGTCGGCGCCGGCTCCATCGGGCAGGCTGAAGGAGTCGACGCCCAGCACCGGCGTGACAGCGCTGCCGTAGGTGCAGGGCGGCTCGGGAGACACGCTGGCCTGGTAGTGCTTGAGGCACACGCGGAAGAAGGTCCTGCAGGCGCACGGCGGCGGCCCCGCGCCCCCGCGGCAGCAGTTGCGGTTTCCCAGCAGCCCCTTCTTGTTGACGAACTCCTGCAGCTTCAGCTCGAACACCCCGGAGCTCCAGACCTGGGGGGGGGGGGGACGGGACGTGAGGGCGCGCGGAGCCCGCGCTCCGGGGTTCGCTTTCGGGGTGACAGCTTGCGTCGCTGGCCCTGCTCTCCACCGCTCTCCCGCGCGCGGCCGGCGCCCCGGGTCCCCTCCGGGGTACCCCCGCTGACAACCTACCTGACAGCAGGGCCCCGGAGCCCCGACCTCACAACTTACCTGACACAGCAGGGCTGACACAACGGCGAGGGCTACGGCGCACCGACGGCCCATGGTGCACCGCTGGACTCGCCCAATCTTCTGTGCCCCCTTTCTCGTCCTTGAACGGCAGGGAGTGCAAGGGGGTGGCCGTGCCCCAAGAAGCGTGGGCAGAAAAGCGCCGCCGCTCGGCCCCAGGCTGGGATACTCAGGACTTCTTTCTTCAAGACCTCGCCTCTCCTTCGGAGGCTGCGGTTCTGTAGATCCGCCCTTCGGTGGTGACGGAAACTCTGGGGATGCACGAGAAAAAAGGCTCCCTGGGAGAGATGACTAGTGGAGCGCAACTTTCGGTTTTCCTCCTCCTTCTTCCAATCCACGAGTAGGTAAGGGTCTCCCGCTTCCTGATTTTGTCTCCAGCTTCTTTGAAGGAAAAAAAAAAGGGAGAGAGAAAGCGTCCAGATATTCAGCTTAATTCCCAAAGAGCTGCCGAGGCTTCCTCCGAGTCCGATTAGAAAGCCGCGGTCTGGAAATCCCACCGGCGAGGCGATAATCCCGGGGCCCCAGCGGAGCGCGCGCAGGGACGCCCGGCGGCGGCGGGTGTGCGCGGCGCGCCCTGCGGCTCGGGCCCTTGTCACTCGGCGGCGGCGGCGGCGGCCGTCCCGGGAGCGTCCTGAACTCGTGTCCCCTGCGCCCCCGCGGAGCCTCGCGTCTGTCCGCAGAACCCAGCCGGTGCCATCCACGTAAACAGCACGGGGTCCGAGCGCAGGGTGGCGGGCGGCGGGCGGAGGCGCTGCGCCACGGCTACGCGTCCTCTGCGCGCTCGGCCCGGCCGCTCTCCGCGGGTGCGCGCCGAGGTCTGCGCTCGCCGGCGCCGGCTGCCCTTATATCCGGCCGGCCGCCCGCATGGCTAATGAGATGCAAATGAGCAGCCCCCCAATCTGGCGAGAGCTGTCACAAAGGAGCCACTTTTCCAAACCCTCCTCTCAATGGATCGCCAAATGGTCAGTGAGCTGTAAAATGTGCAACCTCCTCCCCGCCCCCACACCTCCCCGCCCCCGGCCCTCCTCTGCCCCCGCCCCCAGCCCCCCGCCTTCCTCCGCACCACACAAAACGCGCTCATTTACATTCCTGCAAAATGTTCGCCGCAAGAATCCTCTCCGCTCGCGAGGCGGGGGCCACCGCCCCGGCCCCTTGGCTCTCCCGCCGGCCGCAGGCTCGCAGAGGCCCGCGGGGACACGCGGGGACGCGCGGGGACGCGCGGGGGCGGCGCTGCGCCTCCAGCCCCGCCGAGTGCAGCCCGCCTGGAGCCGCCGGACGCGGCCTGGGAAACTCTCCGGGCTGCCGCGGCGTCCGCCCGCCGTCTCCCCGCGCGGGCCGGGTCCCAGGGTTTGGGGCGCCGGGGCAGCCCCTTCTCCAAGGCAGCCTCTTCCTCCGGAGGAGCCTCGGGGGGCGGGGGCCGGGGGCACGGTAGGAAAGGGGCGGCGCGAGCAGAGGGCAGAGGGTGGCGAGCGCAGCGGCAGTTTTGGGAAGTTTGGGAAGGTGTGACACCGACAAGCCCTCACCGGCCGAGGACCGCGACTCTGCGTGCGGGAGCGCAGAGCCCGCATGCAGGGCAGGGCTGGGGGTGAGCGCGGCGCCCCCGGGCACCCCGGAGTCCCCGCGCCCACGGTGTCCCTGCATCGGTCCGAGGCCGCTGGTGGGGGCGGGGTCCGGGAAGCGATTCCCCCACCCCCACCCCCAGCAGGGAGATCCCGATCCCGACGCCTCAGACTAGTCCCCCCCACCCTGCCCCGCATACACACACACACGTCCTTCCCGGAGTGATTCTCGGCCACCACCACCTTTCCTGGGTGTCCAGCCCCTCTCTCCTGGGTATTCCCCCCTCGGCCTCCCTCCGCTTGGTAAAAAGTGAGTTTGGTGTGTGTCGTTCGCGTGGCTGTCATTAAGGCACTCTGTTATTGTGCGAGGCTGAATCAGTGGCTCTTTGTGCGCTCAGCTGTATGGTAATGCAGACCGCACCTGCTCCCCGCACAATGCCGAGAGAAAGAGCTCCCCTCCGCGCGCGCCGCGGCCTCTACAACAATGTCCGGCACATGTTCTAAAGACCCTCCAGCCCGGCCCCCCCAACCCGAAATCTTTACACAACCATCACCTTATTAGGTTTTTACACGTCCATCAGACACTAGAACTTTTGTTTTCATTTTTTTAAAGGGAAATGAGTTTATTGGGAGGGCTGAGAACACACGTATCACACAATGAATTATCTAAATTGCTCTCATGCTTTTGGGCTCAATGCAGAATTAAGGTGGGGCATAGACTCCTACTCTGCCATCCAGCTTTACGCTGGGCACACTTCGAGGTCTCTTTCCCAACCCTGTCTGCTCTTCCTCAACCTCCCCCAACACCTATGGCAGCTTCATTAGGACGGAAGGTGTGACTGTTGGAGTAGATGTCACTCTGTGGCACAGCCCCAGGGTGCCTGGCCACAATGGCCTCGCTACAGGTGTGCTAAAGCCACCTTATTGGTGGGAGCTGGCACCGTCCTGGCAAAATGTGATTTTCATTGCAGCAGGTGTGGAGATCACACAGTATCAATGTCATGCACAGGAAGAGGGAAAATGCCAAATAAAACCACTGTAAACAGCAACCTAAAAATCACTTGGTGAAGTCAACCATGGCCATCCCTCTGGCTGTTAGGCAACAAGAACCTTGAATCTTTGGCTCACATATACCTGTAGAGTTTCTGGATTGACAGATCTGTACACTTTAGATTTTCCACTGCTGTCTCATAGAGAAGCAAAGAATTGGTCGAAAGTAATGTGCAGGGTGACGTGAGAAAGGCAGGCTTGGACTCCACCAGAACCCCCTACTGTTTGGTTCAAAACAAATGGAGACTTCAAAGGTACTGCACCCCCAGGATGGTGGCAATCCCAGTGTGGCCACCCTTTGCAGACTTTGTAAGGATGTGCTACATCCCCACAGGGCTGGGTCAGCATGAATCCTAATTTAATCTTGCCACCTAGTGTCAGCATCCTTTTTTCACTACGTCCATGTTTCCTCTGAAAGCTAATTTCTGAGAACTTTGCTCTGTACAGCATAGAAGCTGGTGTGTGTGTGTGTGTGTGAGAGAGAGAGAGAGAGAGAGAGAGAGGGAGAGAGATGGGGGGAGGTGAGAGGGTTCCAGGAGCAGAGGAGCCACAAAAGAAGAAAGGAATGTGAGCTCTAAATCCTCTGTGCCTCTGAGACCAAGAGTAGATTTCAGTAAGAAATGAAATTTCAGGAACCTTTTAATTAGAAAATGGAAGTGGGAAACAGTCTCATTTGAATGCCTGTTTAGAAAACTGGAAATAAAAAGTTCCACGCGTAAGGGCTTAAACCTTGGGGGGAAAAGACTTGCCCCAAATCTTTAACAAACCCCCCTCAGTATCAAGTATTTGTTAAATTGACGTGGCACAGATTTCTCGATTACAGCGGCAAAGCGGAACTGAAAGGCATCGTAAAATCCATCAGAATCCTGCCCAAAGCGTTCATTCTTTTCCAACTTAATTTATGCCACGCGATTCTGTATTGGGGAAATCAAGCAGAAAGCCCTTTTCTTCTCTTTCCTCCTCCTCCTGTTCTTTCCTCTTCTTTCTTCCTCCCCTCTTCTCTTCTCTCCTCCTGCTTATCATCATCCTTCTCCTTCTCCTCTCCTTCTCCTCCTCCTCCTTCTCTCTCCCGTTCCCTCTCTCTCTCTCTCTCTCCCTCTCCCTCTTCCCCCACCTCATGCTGGTCCCTCTCCCCCTCTCCCTTTCAAAGCTGAGCTAACGGGAGACTGTTTAACTTCTGTGTTTCTGTAGGGGCCTGTTGTAGTTTAACTCCTGCACACCAGTAGCTGAGATGAACAAAGGAGAGACTCGAGGTCCAACTATTCATCCTTTCTTTGCACTTTAATTTTCATTGATTGGGAAGACAAGGGGAGCCCTTAGGGATTCAGGCTGAAGGGGGATGACACGCCTTTAGACGCCATCAGCCCCCTAGCCAGCCATCTGCTCCGAACCAAATGGCGTTTTTTCACTCCCTAACTGCATGTCTCTATACTCCCGCAACGAAGCACTCTGAACCCCCTAAATGCAGGAGGGAGCTTAAGCTAGAGTATGTTAAAAGGCTTGCCTCCACGTTGGCCCTAGCAGCCAGATTCCCTCCTCCCTGCACACCATAAATCCTCACCTTTCTCATTAGGAAAAAGCAGGAAACTTTTTTTTAAATACTTTTTGATTTCTCAGCAAATTTACTGTACAAAGTGAGGCTCATTAGGGCTTAGAAGGCACCCAATCCATCAGACACAGGAGAGGACAGAGAGATTTGCCGCCTGGTGGTGGTGTTTTATTTTTGCCAGGCTTGCATAGCTCATAGCCTAAATAACCCCAGTGGCTAGGGTGGGCTCAGGTTGTATGATCAGAACCATAGCCACAATAGGTACAGATAAGCTCTGTTTACTGGAGACCCTGATTGTTTTCCCCACTTTTATTAAGCCATTTGGGAATAAAAGCTCACAGCCTTCATTTTATAAATTTTATAAATTTAAATATGCACATCCTCGGTAGTGGTGTGACCAAATACTGGGGTCACCCAAACCTGATTCAATCCCCTTTGCCCAAAGAAAGGTTCTATTCTCAAGGTATGTGTGGGGTGGGGTTGTGGGTAGAGGGAGGAGGGTCAGGGCAGATTGCAAAAAACAATGCCCAGAAGAGGCTGAAGACTCTAAGCTAGCCACAGGTTCAGTTTTCTGTGTAAACAAGTCTGGAGACTGGAGCGGTGTTTGTGTTTTCTTAGACCAACTGAATACTGTATACCCAACAGAGAGGTTCTCTAATTCCTAAGAAGAATTAAGGTCCTTGTTCTGAACTACAAAATAAAAAACTTCCAAGCAGCAAATCTGGTGTTGATCAAACATGCCAGGTTACCTGAAGAAGAAGGGGGGGAGGGGGAGGAGGCCTAAAACATGTTTATTAATCAGTATCACATCCTCCACCAATACATCCTAGCTACCACCCCTTCTCCATCAGTCACAGGTTGGGAATCTTTTTTTTTTTTTTTAATCATACTGTGCTATTACAGTATCATTGACTATATTCCCTGTCCTGTACCTTTCATCCCTCTGACTTATTCCACAACCTCCCACAACAGTTTGGGAATCCCAAAGTGGTTAAAATTGCAGGGGAATTGACCAGCTTGCTGTGAGTATAGGAAGCTCTTCCAGAGATCTACAGTAAACCTCTATCTGTATGGTGTAGCTATTATGGATATTTACTTCTTACTTCTTAAGCTATCTTGAGGACTGCATCCCAGAGATATGTGAACATTTACAAGACACACACTGACCCCAGTGTCTGCACAGATTTGTTTAGACTTGATGGAGTTATGTGTGGATCTCTCTA